TTTGTGGGCCAGGCCTAGGGCCCCACTTCCTGTACAGCCTCAGGGCGTGCTCCCTACATGGCATTCCAGCAGCTCCAGCTCCAGCCTCAGCTCACAGGGGCCCAGGTACAGCTCAGGCTGCCGCTTTGGAGGTTGCAAGCTGTAAGCCTTGACAGCTTTCACACGGCATTAAGCCTGCGGGTGCACAGAATGTTAGAGTGAAGGCTTGGCAGCCTCTACCTAGATTTCAGAGGATGTATGAGAAAGCCCAAGTTCCCAGGCAGAAGCCTGTTGCAGGGGGCAGAGCCCCCACAGAGAACCTTCACTAGGGCAGTGCCAAGGAGCAATGTCCACAAATCCCCCAAATCCCCTCTTTGAGTAACTGAGAGAGTTGGTCCCCCCACACAGAGTCCCCGCTGGGGCCCTGCCTAGTGGAGCTGTGAGAAGGGGCCGCTGCCCTCCAGAATTCAGAACGGCAAAGTCACCAGCAGCTTGCACCCTGCGGTTAGAAAAGTCACGAGCACTCTACACCTGTGAGAGCAGCGTTGGGGATGGAACCTGCAGAGCCCCAAGGGCGGAGCTGCCCGAGGCCTTGGGAGCCCACCCCTGGCACCAGTGTGCCCTGGATGTGGAGCATGGAGTCAAAGGAGATTGTTTCGGAGCCTTCAGATTTAACACCTGCCCTGCTGGGTTTGGAACTTGCATGGGACCTGTACTCTCTTTCATTTGGCTGATGGCTCCCTTTTGGAATGACAGTGCTTACCCAGTGCCTATATTCCTATTGTATCTTGGAAGTAAATTACTCGTATTTTATTTTACAGTCTCATCGGTGGAAGGGACTTGCCTTGTCTCGGAGGAGACTTTGGATTTTTGAGTTAATGCTGGAATGAGTTAAGACTTTGTAGGATTCTTGGGAAGGCATGATAGTATTTTGCAATGTAAGAAGGGCGTGAGGTTTGGGAGGGGCCCAGGCAGAATGATACAGTTTGAATATTTGACCTGCCCAAATCGCATGTTGAATTGTAATCTCCAGTGCTGGAGGTGGGGCCTGGGGGGAGGTGTTGGGTCATGGGAGCGGATCTCTCATGACTGGCTTGGGTCATCCCTTGGTGATAAGTGAGCTGTCTCTCTCAGATCACTCGGGATCTGGTCATTTGCAAGTGTGTGGCACCTCCCCCATCCCCCCACTCACTCCTGCCTTTGCCATGTGATCTCCCTCCTCCCGCTTTGCCTTCCACCATGATTGGAAGCCTCCTGATGCCGCTGTGCTTCCTATACAGTCTGCTGAACCGTGAACCAATAAGCCTTTCTTTATAAATGACCCAGTCCCAGGTATTTCTTTATAGCAGTGCAAGAATGACCTAATGCAAAAAGACAATCAACAGGCCGGGAATGGTGGCTCATTCCTGTAATCCCAGCACTTTGGGAGGCCGAGGTGGGTGGATCACTTGAGGTCAGGAGTTCAGACCAGCCTGATCAACATGGTGAAACCCCATCTCTACTAAAAATACAAAAATTAGTCAGGCGTGGTGGCGGGCGCCTGTAATCCCAGCTGCTCAGGAGGCTGACGTAGCCTCCTGAGTATTTTTGTAGAGAGGGGCTCTTGTCATGTTGCCTAGGCTGGTCTTGAACTCCTGGATTCAAGTGAACCTCCTGCTTTGGCCTCCCGAAATGCTGGTATTACAGGCATAGTCTACTGTGCCTGGCCCCTCTTTCAGTAATTGAGAGAATAAATAGAAAATCATGAAGGCTATAGGAGACCTGAATGTTTTTAACTGGTTTGACCTAGCTGACATTTATAGAACATTCCACCCAACAAGAGCAGAATACACATTCTATTCAAGCGCATACTGGACATTTACCAAGACATACCATGTTCTGGGCCATGAAATAAACCTTAACTCATTTAAAGGAATTGAACTCATACAAAGCATGTTCTCTGACCATAATATCAATCCGAAAGCCGGTAAAAAAGAGCTATCTGGAAAATCCACAAATATTAAATTAACCTGTGAGTTAAATAGAACATCACAAGGGAATTTAGAGACTGTTTCTAACTGAAAGAAAATGAAAACTAAACATATTAACATTTATGGATTCTAGCTAAGCCGTGTTTAGAGGAAAACTTAGAATATTAAATGTTTATGTTAAGGTAGAAGAAAAGTCTGAAATCAGTTAGCTAAACTTTCACCTTAATTAATTCAAAAAAAAGAGCAGAGCCAAAGCAAAAGAAACAACAGTGAGTAGACATTAGCAGAAATGAAAACAGAACATCAGAGAAAAATCAGTGAAAGCAAAAACTGGTTATTTGAAAATATCAATAAATATGAAAAGCTTCAAGTTAGAGTGATCAGGAAAAAAAGAGAAGATACAAATTACATTAGGAATGAAAGTGGGAACACCACCCCAGACCCTATAGACATGAAAAAGATATGAAGGAAATATTACAGCCGGGCATGGTGTAATCCCAGCACTTTGGGAGGTCGAGGCAGGTGGATCGCAAGGTCAGGAGTTTGAGACCAACCTGGCCAAAATAGTGAAACCCCATCTCTTCTAAAAATACAAACAAATTAGCTGGGCATGGTGGCGGGCACCTGTAATCCCAGTTACTTGGAAGGCTGAGGCAGAAGAATCGCTTGAACCTGGGGGCGGGGATTGCAGTGAGCCGCAATCATGCCATTGCACTGCAGCCCGGGTGACAGAGCGAGACTCCATCTCAAAAAAAAAAGGAAAAAAAGGAAACGTTACAAACTTTTATGCTCATAAATTTGACACTTTAAACTTAATGGGAAAATTCCTTGAAAGATTCAAACTACCAAAGCTCACTCAAGAATAAACAGGTAAACCAAATTGTCATATGTCCATTAAATGCTACCAAACATTTAAGGAAGACTTAATACCAATTCTACACAAACTCTTACAGAAAATAGAAGAGGAGAGAACACTTGGCAATTCCTTTTATGAATTCAACATTACCTTGACACTAAAACCACATGAGGCCATTACAAGAAAAGCAAACAGACCAATATCCCTTATGAACATAGATGCAAAATCCTCAACTCATTATTAGCAAATAATCCAGCAATATCTAAAAATGAGTCTTTATCCTGAAGTAATCTGTTTATTCTGGGACAAAAAAAAAAAATGAGGTTTATCCTAGAAATGCAAGGTTGGTTCAACCTGCAAACATCGATATAATTCATTGTTATCAACAGACTTAAAAAAAAAAGAGGCCGGGCACGGTGGCTCATGCCTGTAATCCCAGCACTTTGGGAGGCCGAGGTGGGCAGATTATGGGGTGAGGAGATCAAGACCATCCTGGCTAACATGGTGAAACCCCGTCTCTACTAAAAATACAAAAAATTAGCCAGGAGTGGTGGCAGGCACCTGTAGTCCCAGCTACTCAGGAGGCTGAGGCAGGAGAATGGTGTGAACCTGGGAGGTGGAGCTGGCAGTGAGTCGAGATCACGCCACTGTACTCCAGCCTGGGCGACAGAGCGAGACTCCATCTCAAAAAAAAAAAAGATGCAGGAAAAGAATTTGACAAAATTCAACATCCATTTGTGATAAAAACTCTTAGCAAACTAGGAATAAAAAACAACTTCCTTAACTTTTCAAAAGGCATCACAAAAACTCTACAGATAATATCACACTTAATGATGAAAGATTGGATGCTTTCCCCAAAAGGAAGGAAACAAGGCAAGGGCATCTCCTCTCACCACATCTATTCAGCATCACATTGGAGGCCCTGGTCAGTGTAATAAGCAAGAAAATAATAAAGTGAACACATATTGGGAAGGAATAAATACACAAATGTCTCTATTTGTGGACAGCATGACTAGATAGAAAATCTCAAAGGAGTCTACTAGAACCAATTAGAACGTCACGGAATACTAGGTCAATGTACAAAACGAAATGTGTATTTCTATTTGCTAGCAATGAACAACTGGAAACTGAAATTAACATTTTATTTATTTTTATTGACATTTTTATACATATATATACACACACACACACACATATATATATATATATATTTTTTTTTTGAGACAGAGTCTCACTCTGTCACCCAGGCTGGAGTACAGTGGCGCAGTCTTGGCTCACTGCAAGCTCTGCCTCCTGGGTTCACGCCATTCTCCTGCCTCAGCCTTCTGAGTAGCTGGGACTACAGGCGCCCGCCACCACACCTGGCTGATTTTTTGTATTTTTAATAGAGACGGGGTTTCACTGTGTTAGCCAGGATGATCTTGAGCTCCTGACCTCATGATCCACCCGCTTCGGCCTCCCAAAGTGCTGGGACTATAGGCATGAGCCACCGCGCCCGGCCTATTGACTTATATTTTTAGAGACAGAGTCTTATTCTGTTGCCCAGGCTTGAGTGTAGCGGCACGATCACAGCTCACTGCAGCCTCAAACTCCTGGGTACATGTGATCCTTTTGCCTCAGCCTCCTAAGTACAGGTATGTGCCACCATGGCCATCTAATTTCTTTTTTTTAGAAACAGGGTCTCACTATGCTGGCCAGGCTGGTCTTGAACTCCTGGGCTCAAGCAATCTTCCTGCCTTGGCCTGACAAAGTGCTAGGATCATGGATGTGAGCCACTGCACCCAGCCTATTTTATCTTTATGTTTTTGGAGATAGGGTCTTGCTCTGTTGCCCAGGCCAGAGTGCAGTCATGCAACCATAGCTCACGGTAACCTCAAACTCCTGGACTCAAGTGATCCTCCTGCCCTGGCCTCCCAAGTAAGTGAGACTACAGGCACGCACCACCATGCTCGGTGCGTGCCATTTTTTTTTTCTTTAAGATGAGGTCTCCCTATGTTTCCTAGGCTCACCTGGAACTGAGCTTACAAGTGATCCTCCCACTTTGGCCTCCTAAAGTGCGAGGATTACACGCATAAGCCACTGTGCGTGACCTGAAATTAACATTTTAAACATGAGAAAACAGACTTCTACTTCCAAGTAGGATGGAGTGCAGCAGATCAAGGCTCCCACTAAGAACTAGAAAGGCCAGGCAAAAATATAAAAATCATCTCTTTAATGGCATCAGAGAGCTGCAGAAGCAACAAAGACTAAAGGGGTTAAGCCCCAAAAGAGGAGCGTTTTGCAGGATAAGCGGACCATCTGCAGCCCGCAGTTCCCGAGTGCTTGTTCGTCTGGGATTAATGACACATGGGAGATTCGAGGGGCATCTAATCTTGACAAGAATGAAGACTTGAAAGCTGATCTCTTCTTCAAGACTGTGGCAGGACTGGAAGCTGTGTGAAGATGCTGGTCGAAGAGCTAATTTGAAACCTCCGGAAGGCAGAGCAGAATTGTTTACCTCGCTCAGGGCTGAGGAAGGGGAGGGCTCCAGTTTCCAACAGCAGCTCTCTGTTAATTTCCTGGAGGATTAGTTCCTAGAGACAAGCAACCCAGAGACAGGCTCACCCAAAGGGCAGCTCGTCCTCAGCTCAGCTCAGTCCCTGATTGGAGCGAGGGGGTCTCCTTACCGAAGAAATGGGGGACCCTCTCTGCAGGCTGGAACACAGCGTCATCCAGAGCAGGATCTGCCCATGTTTTCTTAGCCGGGTAGTAGAAGTGGCTTCTGCCTACTGAACTGTGCTGCTGTAGGGCACGCGCAAGCACGGAATATCTGTAAACAAACGGGCATGGCTGCGTTTCAATAAGCTGCACTCCCAAAAGCAGGCGGCCGCCCCCCGCTGCAATTTGCTGACCCGGGATCTGGAGCCTCCAGGCTTCAGTGCATGACATCCAGCAATCAGAGACCACAGCGCCTAAAATCAACAGGAAAAAATAGCCCATGGAAATGGACGCACACTCAGCCAGAGAGTGGAAGTCGCAGCAGAGAACCCCCGAACTCTCTGTGAGCGCCGTGTTTTTGTTCAGATGGAGAAAGCAAGGGAGAAAGATTAAAAGATGGAGATTTTTCAACTGAGAACTGGAATCTACATCACACAACACATTTAAGAATCTCTGCAAACCCCAACTTTTCCTGCCACGGCAGGTCTCAGCACAAGGCAGCAGGCAGAGGTTTAATCCTGGGTGAGTCAGGCCGAGTTCCAATTATCATGCTGAGAATCACCCAGTAAGTGAAGCTGCTGTTGTCACCCAAGATTCGGGAGCTCAAAGTTGACAAGACATGGGGACTAGGCAGGGGGTCGGGGGAGGAGAGTGAAGGAAGAGGAAACAGAAAGGGTGAGACACCAAGGTTCCCAGCGGTATGCGCGGGGATATGGAGGGACCATGGTCCGAGACTGGGACCTGGCAGGGGGTCTGCTTGGGGACTGTCAGGTAGGTGGTTAGAGCCATAGATCTGGTGGTTAGCAAAGAGGTCTGGGCAATACACATTTGGGGCTGGGCACAGTGGCTCATGCCTGAAATCCCAGCACTTTGGGAGGCCAAGGCAGAAAGATCGCTTGAGCCCAGTAATTTAAGACCGGTCTGGGCAACACAGCAAGAACCTATCTCTAAAAAAACTTTTTAAAAAATTAGTTGGGCATGGTGGTGCACGCCTGCAGTCTCAGCTACTCAGAAAGCTTAGGCGAGAGGATTGCTTGAGCCCCGGAGGTTGAGGCTGCAGTGAGCCCAGATCATGCTTGGGTGACAGAACAAGCAAGACCCTGTCTCCAAAAAAAAGAGAGAAATACACATATGGGAGCCATCTGAGTCCACATGGGAGAGTGTCAAGCTCCACCCTACCTATGCCCGGGCCACGGCTCCCGTTGAGAAATGGCCTTAGGAGGCCTGGGGCTTACTGAGAGGGGCGAGCTCATCTAGGAGTTCCAAAGTTTAAAGACATCACCTGAAAGCAGTGTGTGCTCACGGACACTCGGACACCTGTCCGCAGTGCGGTCATGGACAGGATAGCCTGGGCTCCACAGTGCTTGGTTAAAGGGGCCGGGGGAGGCCCCAGGAGATCAGCTCAGGGGGTTCCAGCTCGCCCCTGCTGTGGGAGGTGGTCTTCGTAGAGGTTTGGTGGAGATGGCCCTGGAGGTGTTTACTCTGCATATGGGGCTGGGCCTCACGTTGGGAGCAGCGGGCAGCACTGAGAGCTGCATTTGGGGGGCGGGCAGGAAGTTGTCACTGGCACACCCAGGGGCAGAGGCGGCTGCACCACAGCCAACACAGGGCCGGCGGTTGGACTAAGGGCTGGTCCTTGGGCCAGGCTGGGTCCGGTGTTTCCCTTCAGCTCTCAGGTTCTCTCCAGCCTTTCCGGAAACCTACTCATCTCCCAGTTTCCTGCCAACAAACCCCATTACTACTGAAGTCTCAGACTCTGGACTGCCAGGCCTGTTGGGTGAAGCTGCCTCCGGCCAGGAAGAGAACTTGGAGGCGCTGGGAAGGCCCAGTTTCCCCGTGCCCGGCCGCGTGGCCTTGGGAAAGTCCCTCAGTGCTCCAGGCCTCCGTGTCCCTTTCTACACCATGAGGCCCCTGGCATTTGTCCTGTGACCTGTGGGGTGTCACTCGGGCAGGAGTGGGCCGGCTCCCTGGCTCCTGGCCACCATCCCTCAGCATGGTCTGCCTGGCAGCCATGGACAGTCTGGGCTTCCACCCAAAGCGTCTGCAGGGAGCAGGTGGGGACGTCCATCCACTGTACTCTATCCAACCGCGTCTGTCATGTTTCTCCACAGAGAGCACTGGGCAGTCGAGGGGGTGCAGGGACTGTGGGGCCTCCCTACAGACATAGCCTGGGTGCCTGGCAGCTCGGCAACCTCATTTCACCACCCCCTCCAACCACCTGCAGATGCCGCCAACCTGTGTCTGTCCTCGCTGCTTCTGAAACTCCCCTTGGGCCAAAAGGTGCCCCTGAGTTGGGTCCAGGGAGGCCCCATGTAGCTGAAGGAGCTGAGATTTTGGCCAAAAACCTCCAAGGGGAAGCCAGGTGTAGGGTGTGGACTCCACGGCGTCCTCCAGGCTCACTTCCCCAATGGAAACGGAATGGGGACATTGACATTCCGGGGAGAATTCCGGCTTCTTTGAAAAAGGCGGCGCACAGAAGACGCTCAACACCATCACCACCAGGAAATGCAGATCAAAACCACCAGGAGGCTGGGCGCGGTGGCTCACGCCTGTATTCCCAGCACTTTGGGAGGCCAAGGTGGGTGGATCACCTGAGGTCAGGAGTTCAAGACCAGCCTGGCCAACATGGTGAAACCCTGTCTCTACTAAAAATACAAAAATTAGTTGGCATGGTGTGGGCACCTATAATCCCAGCTGCTCTGGAAGCTGAGGCATGAGAATCACTTGAACCCAGGAGGCAGAGGTTGCCGTGAGCCGAGATCGCGGCACTGCACTCCAGCCTGGGACAGAGCGAGACTCTGTCTCAAAAACAAACAAACAAACAAACAAACAAACCCCCAGGAGATCTGCCTCACACCTTCAGGATGGCTAGAATTAAAAAAACAAAAACAAAACACAGAAAACCAGTGTGGTGAGGCTGCGAGGAACTGTACCCTCATGCCCGGCTGGCGGAGGTAAAATGCTGCAGCTACTGTGGAAACCAGTGTGGCAGTTCCCCAAAAAGCTAAACGTGGAATTTCCATAAGAACCAGCAACTCCACTTCCAGGTACAGACCCAAGTATCCATCCACTGCCAAACTGAGAAACCAAACGTCAAACACCCCTCTGATAGAGAGCTACCCAGTCATCGACAGGCAGGCAGTCCTGACACAGGCCACAGTGTGGGTGAACCCAAGGACGTCACGCTCAGTGCAAGAAGCCACGCACTGGATGGTTCCAGTCCCATGAAATGCCCAGAATGGGCCAGTGCCCAAGGACAGATGCAGGGGAGCGGCCACCAGGGCAGAGGAGGCGCCACTAGGGGCTGGCGAGGGGCCACCGGGGCAGAGGAGGGGCCACCGGGGGCTGGCAAGGGGCCACCGGGGTGGGGGAAGAGCCAGTGGTTGTCAGTGGCTGGGGTTTCCTTTTAGGGTGATGAAAATGTTTTGGGGGCCAGGCACAGTGGCTCATGTCTGTAATTCCAGAACTTTGGGAGGCTGAGGCGGGTGGATCACCTGAGGTCAGGAGTTCAAGACCAGCCTGACCGACATGGCGAAACCCTGTGTCTACTAAAAATACAAAAATTAGCCAGACATAATGACGGGCACCTGTAATCCCAGCTACTTGGGATCAGCTACTGAGGTGGGAGAATCGCTTGAACCCGGGAGGCAGAGGTTGCAGGGAGTCGAGATCACGCCACTGCACTCCAGCCTGGGCAACAGAGTGAGACTCTGTCTCAAAAAATGTTTTGGAGCAAGGTGGAGTTGCCACCGCCCATCATGAATGTGCTGAACGCCACCACACTGGCCTGAACAGAACACTTTAAAATGGGTAATTTTATGTTACGTGAATTTTACCTCAATTTAAGAAAAAGATGTCCTAGGGCCCTTTGAAACGCACATCATAAGGAGCGAATTTCCTGTGGAGCCTCGCCTGGCAGGGTGGCCACACCTTCCCCACACGTTCCCTCGGCAGGTTCCAGGTGCAACACACCGCTGGTCTGCAGGCGCTTGGTGGTGGAGCTGTTTCACACGCGGGAGCTTCTCCTCCCCGCGCCAGCCCAGGAGGAGGGTGTTATTCCTCCCTTCCAAAGACCAGGGGCAGGACAAGATAAGCTTCTGTGACTTTGCCGGGATCAGAGACAGTCCAGGATTCCAGCCTAGTCCTATCAACCCTGTATCTTGGTGCTCCACCTGCCAACCACCCAGATGCAGGGGCCAGCACAAGACGGCCACTGTCCGAGTCTGTGACCTCTCCCTTGTCCCTGATGTCACACCCCCCTCCCACTCGCTGTGGCCTCTGTGCTGGTCTCCATGATGCTCAGCCGCCTTCGTCCCGGACACTGCACCCCTTCCGCCCGCCCAGCCCACAGGCTACCACTCCCAGGCTGTCCACCAGGTGGCAGTGAAGGTCACCGATGTCAAGTTCGTGGCTCGCCCTCCCAGCCCTGCACCCGCCCTGGCTGGAGCAGAGTGGTCGGGGCCTAAGGAGCCCTCCAACCTCATCAGGCGAGGGGGCTGTGACGCCAGGGACCACTTCTCCGGCAGAGCAAAGCTTATAAAATCCAAATGCGGCCGGGCGCGGTGGCTCATGCCTGTAATCCCAGCACTTTGGGAGGCCGAGTTGGGCAGATTGCCTGGGGTCAGGAGTTCAAGACCAGCCAGGCCAACATGGTGAAACGCCTCCTCTACTAAAAATACAAAAATTAGCCAGGTGTGGTGACGGGCGCCTGTAATCCCAGCTACTTGGGAGGCCGAGGCAGAGGAATCGCTTGAACCTGGGAGGCAAAGGTTGCAGTGAGCCAAGATCGTGCCACTGCATTCCAGCCTGGGCGACAGAGCAAGACTGTCTCAAAATAAATAAATAAATAAAAATATATAAAACCCAAATGCAGCCAACACAGTGGCTCATGCCTCTAATCCCAGCATGATGGGAGGCCAAAGCAGGCAGATCACTTAGGTTCAGGAGTTCAAGACCAGCTGGGCAACATAGCGAGACCCCATCTCTACAAAAAACACAAAAACTAGCCAGGCATGGTGGTGTGCATCTGTAGTCCCAACTACTCAGGAGGCTGAGGTGGGAAGATCCCTTAAGCCCAAGAGTTCAAGGCTGCAGTGATCCAAGAGCCCATCACTGCCCTTTAGCCTGAGCGATAGAGCGCGAGCCTGTCTCAAAACAAACAACTCTGGCCGGGCGAGGTGGCTCACGCCTGTAATCCCAGCACTTTGGGAGGCCGAGGCAGGCGAATCACAAGGTGAGGAGATGAGACCATCCT